CAAGTACTATAGTCTAACGGACGCGTCGAAGCTCTACCGCCTCGCGATCAGTGAGTTTCAAAGTTAATATTCACAATCTTCGTCCTGCGCACTAACCACATGGTCTATTCACCGCAGTGCTACAGCCGTCTATGAAACTGGAGTACTTCAAGCGCATGAAATGGCCAGAGGCATGGCAACGCCGGGCGAGGACCCTGCTGGAGGACGAGTTTCAGCTCTACCACGCTGCCTGGGAGCTCGCCGGGGGGGTGCAAGATGATCTGGTGGACCTCCCTGGCACCCCCGTCCCCAGCTCCCGTTCCGCCTCACGCGCTTCCAGCGAGGAGAGCGGAGAGGATGCAGAGGACGATGAGTATGAAGACGCGGAGATGCGCAGGGATGACAGCTCGGACGGATCGGTACGTCAGTCGCATCTTACGGCCCAGGACTGACACTGACTTCTGAGCTACATACAGGATTGCTCGGGCGTAAATTTCTTTGAGGAGATGGCCGTACTACCCCCCGACGATAACGACCACGTCGGGAACGAGCTGCATGACTACCTTAGCAGCCCACTCGAGGAGACCTCTGATCCTCTGCAGTGGTGGCGCGACCGCACAAGTACGTACCCTGTTCTCTCGCGTATGGCATTAGACTACCTCTCTATCCCTGGTATGTATGTCCCTCGGCCCCGTACAGTGCATCTTCTAACAAGATCTTCATTACTCTAGCAACATCTGTCGACGTCGAACGGCTATTTAGTCGCGGCCGACTGCTCTTGTCGCACGTCCGAGGGCGTCTCAGCGCTCAGACTACCCGTGCACTTCTGTGCCTCAACAGCTGGAGCACGGCCGGTTTTGTACGCCCGGAGGATGCCAAGAAGGTGGCTCAGATGGCAGAGCTTGAGAACGAGGTGTCGGACTATGAGATGGACGACGGATGGGATACCATAGACGTCAACATCGTGTAGCCGTCGTCAGCTCATGCCCTCACCTCTGCCTCATCACTTTCCTTCCATGCTCGTAACACCACCGCGATCGCCCTGGAGGCGTACCTCTCACGCAGCTCACCGTCTTCCTCTCGCTGCTCGTTTACTTCGACATCGACAACGCGCAACAGTCCCCGCCGAGCGTATCGCTCGTACCATTCCTTCCACCAAGGCTAGACCTCTCTCCCTCACACCCACACGACTTCCGCCGTTCCCCCATTGGTCCTTTGAAGTATTCTCCCCGCCTTCGATGGGTATATGGCCCATCTGCACGCGCGGGCGCATCCATCCTCTCGACTACTCGCTCGTCTGATCTTGTCGCACGTCCGAGTGCGTCCGAGTCATCTCAGCGCTCAGACTACTGCCCATCCTCTCGACTACTCGCTCCTACCATCTTGTCGCACGTCCTAGTGCATCCGACGCCTCGAAGCGCCGCTCCTATCAAGTTGGACGCACGTCCGAGTGCGTCCGACTTGTCTCAGCGCTCAGACTACTGCCCATCCTCTCGACTACTCGCTCCTACCATCTTGTCGCACGTCCGAGTGCGTCCGAAGCGTCGCAGCGCTCAGACTGCTACCCATCCTCTCGACTACCCGCTCCTATCATCTTGTCGCACGTCCTAGTGCATCCGACCTCTCGACTACTCGCTCCTATCAAGTTGGACGCACGTCCGAGTGCGTCCGACTTGTCTCAGCGCTCAGACTACCCATGCACTCGCCTCCTATTCCCGCTATTCCTCGACGATGCCTAGATAGAACAAAGGTTGATGTGAATGTTCTGAAGCCGGCTCACCGTGGCCGGCGTGTTCGTAGTACGCGTGCATGTAATTGAACAAGTATCTTTCGTTGAAATCAATTATCACGATGTCAACCTGATCAATGGTCCGAATAGTATGTGCACTGATTGTATAACTAATCGGTAAACTGTCCCTCAACGCTGCGAGTGATCGATCAAATCGATTATCACGCCGACGAACTCCCTCAGCCCGCAGGACGTGACTCCGAGCCAGTTTGCCAACCTCTTCCACCTTGGACGTGCCTACGCCACTGACTCTCTTCCTCTCTCCCCGCTGCATGGATCATATAGCGAATAATCGAACACTCTCTGCCGTTGCTGTGCGCCTCGTGCGCACACCGAGGATGCTTCCGGCTGGTCCATTGCGGGCTATTACATTGGAGGTCTCCGGCGAAGCAAGCGGCGGCAGTCACGGTGGTCGCCTGGACACCATACGGGTACGTACTACTTATTCTCATATCTTCAGAACACATTCCTAGACCTCACCGCGGGCATCTTCAGCTCCGAATCCCTCTCTCTCTTCGCCAACTTCGTGCTTCATCTTCGATTCCTACCCAATTCTGGCACTCCCTTATCACCCATCCCATCTATCACCACCTCGAAGGGCCTAACTTTGGTGCAGTCCTGACAACTGTTGGGTTGCTTGAGTTCTTCGCACATATAGTGCCTGTGGGAGACCCCCGCGAGGAGGAGTTGTGGAGCCAGTTCATTGCTCATGTACGTATCGCATCTGCCATCGCGGCTGCGGACTCGGCGGGTGGCATCTCCTCTGAAGAGGCAGCTCAATGGCTCCAGAATGCCCTTGGGGACTGGGCCCGTAGTGTTGTGCCGGTATGTGCTAACATTCATGTGCCCTCTTCTATGTACTCACGTCTTTGTTTAGGGTGTACTACGTGCAAGTATGGAGGCGCTCGGCGGCCTCCCAGATGATGGAGATGACTCTGAACAGATGCCGGAGCTTGAGACTGTGCCCACCAATGACGAGTAGAGTCTCCGAACTAGACATTATGTGATGTATTACAACAGGATCTACGATGTCGAATAACCCATACTGCGTGCTCCGACCCATGGGTACCCATGGGTGAACCCATGCCCGGCATACCCGCTCTCCCGGCGCCTATCAGGCGACCCTCCAAAACCCGGGGGCTCGCGGGCCGGGTTTTCAGCGGGTACGGGTACGGGCCGTCTCAAAAAACCCGGGGGTAACCCGTGCTATTCCCTACTCTGTGCTCGGAGGGGCGTGGTGGATAAGGCATTGGGAGGGCGAACCAACGTATGTGCACATTGTCCTCACCTCCATATCCTGTCATCCCTAGAGAGTCGTCCCCAATATGCCAGCTCTCCCCGCCGACACCCCTACTGCACCTGTGGCTCATCCCCAACCGACCAACCACCTACGCGCCCTCATTGATAACATTGTTCACCTCCTCTGCTCGGGTCGCCCTATGCTTGACCACCACCACCTTGCTCGCATCATTACGCAGGAGTGCCTTGCGATTCCCGCCTTCTGAAGATACCTATCCACGTCTGCCCAACGCTCGCTCATCCGGGGCTTGCTTGAATGTATCTATGTAAGTACATTCGATCCCGTCATCCAAACAGTTACTGACGATGTTCGTAGGAGCTCGCATCCGATGCCCCTCGCCCCCCAAGCTTCTCTGTCAGCGCTGAACGCGCAATGAGCTCTGCAGCAGACCACTGGATGTCTCCGAGACGTCCAAGCCTGCACATCAGTAGTGTTACATATCCAGATGGCCGTCAACTTGTTTTCCCCACTCCCCCTTCAAGTACCGCGCAGCCTCCTCTTGCCCATATCCATGTCGTTGTCGCTGATGACATTGAAGACGCACCCTCCACAGAACCCTATGTAGATATTGACAACGACGACATGCCGCCTCTCGTAGATATCTGAGTAATCACTCCCTGTACTCCCCAGACTCTTATGGAATTCACCAGCCACCATGCTCGGCCTTCCACTTCCACTTCTCCGCAACGATGGTTCCAACGCGTGGCACATCTACGGCTTCGCACCCCCGCGCGACTTCACTCGCACCAACCCCGATGATGCGGCCATTCGCGCATACGGCTCGGCTCGTACATCGTCAACCCACATCGCTCTCACGGCAGGCAAGGTCTCGTTCACATCCTGTCCTCAATTGCATCCCAAGCATGACCTGTATGTCCATACCACCCATCTCACATCCACCACTGTTCGCGACCACTGCGTATACCCTCGCCATCGCCTGGTGACGTGTATCGTCATTCACTCGCACCTTTCAAGATTCATGCAATAACCCATCATGCACATCGTCGCCCTCGCCGCCACCACATCTGACTTATTGGCCGCTCATCGCATGCTCTCGATCGCCTATCCTTATCCTCATTGTGTCCCATACCTGCGCGCATCCACCTTATGCAGTGCGCACACATGACTATACGCGATGACCCACCCAAGGCACGTCAGTGTCTACGCCCATTGTGCACATCGTCGCCCTCGCCGCCGCCGCATCTGACTTATTGACCGCTCATCGCATGCTCTTGATCGCCTATCCTTATCCTCATTGCGTCCCATACCCGCGCGCATCCACCTTATGCAGTGCGCACGCCTACTCGACTATACGCGATGACCCCCAATGCGCATGGCACGTCAGTGTCTGCGGCTTCGCACCCCCGCGCAACTTCACTCACACCCATCCTGACCACGCGGCCATTCACGCGTATGACCTGTACTTCGCCAGCCCACTTCTGCTGCCCGCGTCGACCTTATGTCCACCTACTCGACTCTACCGTATGACCTGTCCATTGCTCACTCATGTCAAGTTGTATATAGATTGTCTTCTATAGTATCTATGTTAGTTCATTCACGAGTACCTGTGTAAGTACCTGTGAGTATTCATTGAATTCTTACACTCGTAAGTACCTGTAATCCGCAGGTAAGAAACCCGTGGGTCTGGGTTATCCGTGAGAACGTACCCGTGCAGCTGCGGGTTGGGTGGGCCCATTTTATATACCTGTGGGTAATGGATGCGGATGCATCCACGGGTCACTCGTGACGGTCCCTAATCTCAGCATCTCAGCGCAAGTTCTCACCCGTTAACGCCGCCGCCCGCTCGCGGCAGGCCATGCTTGGATTCAGAACAGAACTGGCTCTGGACGAGGATTGCTCATGTATTACAAAGTTGTCGGTGAGCATTCGACTGGACAAAAACGACGGGACAAAAAAATCACTCAGATATAATAGCAACTCCTGGTTTCGATCCAGGGACTTCAGGGTTTCATCGATATGAGCCCTGCACGCTTCCACTGCGTCAAGTTGCTGTGGTTGCCAAGCTAATAGTTGCATTCATGACTCACATTATGACCGTTCTGACGGTCAGTGACCATTACAAAAGTACTGTTGTTGGCCACCGTAGATGGGACTGTACCAGACCACTACATAGTATCAAAATGGCGTTGGATAGATGATCACTGTAGGAGCTAGTGCCCTCGATTCAGCTACTCAGGAAGGGTGTCGAATTCCCATGTCGAACCTTCCGCCCTACGACCAATTGGATTAAAGAAGCACGAGCCTTCAACAAGCTGAGCGCAACCTGCAGTCTGATATGGCGTTTCAAACCAGCACATTGAATTCATCTACATTAAACTACAAGTGCAGCGACGATGCCTACTCTACTTCCCAATTGGTTATCCGTACAAAAAGCTCCCCAGACGATTCGGTACTAGTAATGGTGGTGGTGGTGGTACAACGCTAGCGTAGTGCGATGGTGCAGTCAGTCAGTCCGTGGCGGCGCCCGCTTTTTACACGGCACAAAGACGAAGACGAGTCGCATGTCGCGTCCACAGCAGGAGGGTGATCAGTCCTTCATGTTGAGGACGACACGGCCGACGACCTTGCCCTGCTCGAGACCCTCGTATGTCCTACGTAGAGAGAAACATCGTCAGCATCCGACACCATAGAGGGACAGAACGGGGAACGGGGAAGAGACGTACTCAGAAAGAGCAGAGAGGGGCTTGAGTGCGAAGAAGCACTTGACCTTGCCGCGTGAGGCGATGTCGAGTGCCTCGCGGGCGTCCTGGCGGTTGCCGACGTACGAGCCGAGGATGCTGATGCTCTTCGCGACGGTGAAGAAGATGTCCGCGCTGAGGTTCGCGCGGGCGGGGAGGCCGACGACCATGAGCTTACCGCCCATGCGGAGGTAGTCGATAGCCTGCGCGTACGCCTCGCTGTTCGCGGCAGTGACGACAGCGGCGTGCGCCCCAAAGCCGTCCGTCGCCTCGACGATGTCCTTCACGAGGTCCTTCGTCTCGCGGAAGTCAATCCACTTCTCCGCGCCGAGCCTCATCACGAGGTCCTTCTTCTCGGCACCCGTGTCTGTGCGTGCGATACGGGTATGGTAAGTGGATCGTGCTGGATGAGAGTAACTTATCGGAGTACTGACCGACTGCGACTACACGGAGACCCATGGCGACGGCATACTGGACAGCAAGATGGCCAAGTCCACCACCAGCGCCAGGGAGGACGATCCATTCGCCGATCTTGGCACCCGAGTACTTGATAGCACGGTAGACCGTGACACCCTGCGCGAAAGCCCGTCAGCGATGTGTCTGATAAAGGTGTCATGCGGGATGCTTACAGCACAGAGGATGGAAGCAGCCTCAGCTGACGAGAGGTTCTCGGGGATGGGGGAGACATGGGTGACCCACGAGACGACATACTGGGAGAACGTGCCGTCGACAGTGAAGCCGGAGTACTTGCCGTTCAGGCAGCCTGTTCATGATGAAGAAAGGTATGACGTCAGAGAGATAGGGGTGTGAGAGCAGGTGCGGAGACTGACTCTGCTCGAGGCCTTTCCGGCAGGGCTCGCAGTCCAAGCACGAGTACGCGAGCCACTTGATGCCCACACGGTCGCCAATCTTGACGGGCGAGTTCTGTGTGTGCTGGCCGATGGCGACGATGCGGCCGACACCCTGCGCGAGGCCGCAGATCAGGGGCGATAAAGGGGGCGCGGAAGGAAGGGAGACGCACCTCGTGACCGCCAATCAGGGGGAGCTTCGCGGGGATGGGCCAGTCGTTGTTGCGAGCGTGGAGGTCGGTGTGGCAGACACCGGAGCAGTCGAGCTCGACGAGACACTCGCCGGGAGCGAGTTCCTCAGGCTGCTTGACGGGGTGGTTGTCGACGATCTTGAGGGGCGCGTCGGGCTTCTCGACGATCGCCGCCTTCTGGGTCTTGGGGATGGTGAACTGGGGGGCCATTGTAGAATGCAGTCTGAGGGCTGTTGTGGTGGGGGAGGAGGAGCGGAGGAGTGCGGGTTTATATAGCACGGCGGAGGGTGCAGAAGAGATCCGAGTGGAGAGACGCTGGGCAGAGCGAATCTGAGCTGCGAAGCTTCGCTGAATGGCCGACATGGCTCACGACAGGGCGAAAAGGCACCTTTTAAGTTCAGGAATGTCGCCGAGAACGGCATGGCGGATGCGAGCGAACGGGATCATGCCATCAGCCAATCCTGCACGGGCAGCGGCACATGGACGCGATGGGCTCGATGAACCCGCGGTTCGACTGAGGCCTTCGGGGTGCGGTCCCGCCTCGACCAGTCTCGGTCGCGTTCAGTCCACTGCGCACCCGCTGCGACGACCATGGGACTACGCAGGTGGCTCGATGGCCGATACCGCACCTAGACTCCCCACGGTCTAGATTTATCTATCGCAAGACCCAGCCGCTGCCTCCCCTTCGTTGTCGCAGTCCATCGCAGTCTGGCCAGCCACATAGTTTGCAACACGACGTGCAAGTGCAGATTCTATAGGTCAGGACATGCATCGGAAATTCGTGAGGAGTCTATCATTTCCTTTGTTTTCGAGGGCGCTTAAGCCAAAATGCCAGGAAATGATAGACTGCCCACGAATTTCCGGTGCATGTCCTGACCTATAGAATCATTGTCCGCACGTCGTGCAACGCTGCCGTACAGGATGCTGCTAACGCGGTCAGGTATCGCAGCCAATGACGAGGGTAGGCCAAGGTTGGGTTGCGGATGCAGCAAAGTCGGGAACACGGGGCGGAGGAGGCTGTGCACGCCTCTCGGAAACAGCCGCGCATCCAAGTTTGGCATCGGCGCTTCTCTTACTTCGAACCTTGGAACCGTCTCCGTGCCATCTCCATTTCGCATACGGAGCGCTGGCGTAATTGCGTTGCCAAGCTCCCCTAGGCACGCAAGAAACACCACAACAAGGTAATAGTGACCCAAGTTTCTCACATGGCCCGCTCACATGGTCGCTCCACCGCACCTCCACACAGAATGCCGATCGTAACCCCAGACGAGCCACCCCTATCATACTCGCTAGAAGCCCGCAAATGACAGCATAACGCGGGGTACGCTCCCTTCTGTGCGGGGAAGAATCCCGCGAGCGTCGACAACCGAGGACGCAGAGGTCGCCTGATATTCCACACCATTTCCGAGGGCGGTCAGCCAGCGCGTGCGAGCTGCGGCTTGTCGACTTGTCGGCGGCGCCACCGCGCTATCCAGCGTTGCGCTCTGTTCGTGAGCTGATGTCTACTCACGCCGTGGGGTTGGGGACGTTCAGCTGACTGACGAGCATGCACCCTGGTATCGCTGTTCGGACGTCCGTGCGAGCATGGTGGACAAATAACGAGGACGATACGGAGTCCCGGAGGAGGTTACCCGTACGTGCTGACATGCGCGGCGTGATACCAGGGCCCACTGAGGACACAATCTCAAAACGCAATCGATCAGGCTTCGAAAAAGAAGACGCACACACCAATCGATCGTCACCTTCCTCGAAGTCGAACGGGGTCGGTCGGACGGCGCAAGAAATCCGCGATTAATGTTGCCTGGGAGTCCACCATCTCAAGCTGTGAGTTTTCTGACACGCTTTTTGCCCGAACCAGCGCAACGTGATCTCATACCACGACGGGAACGACGAGAAATTGACCACGCGTTGTGACTTGCCTTCGAGTCGCACTTTGAGGTTCGAACTCCAGGTCGCGCAGAATGGTCAGTACGATTTCATCAGCCGTCTGCGTTCCGCACCGCGGTTCTTCGCATCCTCAGGATCTCAGCAAGGCGGCCCAAAGACTTCGGCCGAAGCGACGACTAGGCTTCTCATTGGATCGAGGATCCGAGCGGAAGTGCTCGTCAATAACACTTAGAAGACGGATAAATAGAGTGAAGAGGAAGATGATATGTATATCACACATACATCAGCAGAAGGTGACTAAGTAGCCGTGCGATAGTGACCGGATTGATGCACAGGAATATCGATGAAGGGACTCGGATGCTGGGGAAAGGACTTGACGGCCGCCGGAATACGAACATATGTGCGTCGGGGGCCGGGGCTTGTAGATCGTCTAAAGTACTTACATGTTCAATCGGGATGAAGAAGCGAAAAGCGATGGCGGCCGACGCTCCCGGCCTCGTACGACGCAGACCGCGGTGCGCGACATGCTCGTCGGCGGCCGCGCTCGAGAGCAAGGTCGGGAATCCGTTCGATCCGGCCGTATCCATTGGACAGTGCCAGATTTCAGTGGGCGCAGGTTCTGACAATGCGGGGGCGGATCACGTATGCAGACTGTGACACTGACGGTCCGTCCTATGTCATTGTTCAGTCACGACAGTGGGATTCGGAACTCCGGACGCACGGCGGCCGTACTCGCGCGTTGTTCCTGTGGTGCGTGACGGCGCGCAAGTATGCGTCTTCTACCCCAGCTGTGAGTTTCTCAAGGGAGCCATACACGGCAGAATGATGTTTCGCGAACGTGATGAAGCAGCATGAAGGGCGGCGAGAGGGAATATGGGGTAGGGTCGGTCTTCGACCTCACGCGCACGCTCCACTCCTCACGAGCAGTCTTCAGACCAATAGGTCATGGCATGCGCTGCCGGTCGCAGTGTAAGTGCAGATGTCATCAAAGCATGCGACGGAACTTACTACTTAAGTTTCACAGTGAAGATCTCCTTCGAGGCCGCGACGGACAGTCCTTCTCGTGCAATCTGCAGAGCCCGTTCATCCGCTGCCGTCGCCTGATGACACCAAACAGGGCACCGGAACAGCACGCTGACGCGCCTCAACTGCGACAAGCCCCGCATGGACTCGTTGAGGTGAGCCCAGTCGATCGCTCGCTCGCTAAGGGCGGCGGGCTTGTCATTCTTCACTTCGATGGTGAGGGAGACCGTGGTGAAGGTGTGCAATGAGGCAGCAGTGGACAAGATGTCCGCGCACATCCGAGAGCATAGCCATCCCTGTTCCATATTGTCCTTGAAGTCTTTCAGCAAGACGACGAAATGGACGTCCTCCAAATGCGAAAGGC